CTTTTCTTGGCTTCCAAAACTCCTTTATTTTTTTATAAAACTCCAAATATAACAAAATCCCTTCAAAACATATTTTTCTCGCGAAGGGATTTTCTCGCCTTAAACTTTAGAAAATCATAACTATTGTTCTAACCGTTTAGTTTGTTTCAAATTTACAAGATAGGTAGAATTTACCCTTAAATTTTACCACAAAAAAAACCAATTGCAAATTCACTCCTGATCTTCTGGCATCTAAGAAACCCTAGTAGACACTCCAAACCCTAATTTACAAGCACCCAAAAAACTATTTTCCTTATATCTCAAAAACCCGAACTCCTAAGGTCATAAAACTCATGCACAAAGTTTACTAACATAAAATTACACATCCCTTGAAATTTTGAGCCAAAACTTTGTCAAATTGCTCATGATATAGCTCAAGAGACAAACACTAGTAAATCGGTTTACTTACTACCCTTAGATTGCATGTGCTGACTTCAAAATCCAATAACTTCTTTATTCCAACTTAGAATCCACTAAGCAGTATGTAAAAAGTATAGCCGCAAAAGTGCTCTCTCCAGTCGCGGTCGCCGATCCTCAATTGCCATCCGTACGCGTGCGTTATGCCCAAAAGAATGACAGTAGGTCCAAAACTAACACCTTAACTTTGAGCGCCTATAACTTCTTCATAAAAACCCCAAATGACACAAAACTTGCACCAAAACCTTAACCAAAAACCTAAACCTTCTGAACTTAGCCTTTAATATTTGAATGCCTCGAGAAACTAACCCTAATCCCTAATATGGCTTCGGACAGCCTCCTCAAAGCCCATTGGTCATGATTTTTGACTAATAGGAATGGAGATTTTTATTTTTCATCTCCATTCATCTATATTGGTGCCCTAATTACTCCCATTGCTACCAAAATCCTTCTTCAATCCTTTTTCTTATAAGATTTACATAATGTATGCTCTAAACACCAAATAAAAGAACCAAAATAAGTTTTCAAATGTCACCAATGTCTAACAAAGGTGACTCTAAATATTTAGAAGTTACTATCAACCAAAACCAATCTTAAAAGCCACTATCAAAAGGAAATTAAAGTTATACAAATTTTATAGTAATCTTTTTAAACAAACTCTTCTCAAAGTAATAATCAAATTATATTCTAGAACCAACTAAAATCTACTAACATGGCTTTCACCATGTTACTTAATAAATTATATATTAAGTACATAATTACATTATTTTCATATAGTAGCGGAACTACAACACGACAATTGAACAGCTTGACACAGAACCAAAGCCTCCGTTACTAGTACCTTATTAAAGCGTACAATCGATTCAGGTCTTATATTGAATAAAGGGCCCATGACAGGACCTGGATTGGATGTCCCCATAATTGGATCCAATTGACCCTTCGCTTCAGGATCACTCAAATGTTGAATTGATTCTTTCTCCTTTTGCTGACTTCTTGTAAAGACAGCTTGGACTACTTCTACCCGATGAATTGGTGAATCTTGAGGACCTTCATTTATCTCCTCCATTGTTCCTTGGCTTTGGATCTGCTGATCTCAATTATTGAAATTGAACGGAGCATTACATTACTGATAAGTATGTCCGGACTACTTGCAATTTGTACACACTAGCGCATAATCGTCACTGGCTCTAGGATTGCGACATTCACTAGTATAATGACCAATCTGTCTGCAATGGAAACAATGAAGGGGTCTTCTTGTACCTCCATCCGGCATATTGAGTGTCTCCACCGATACATACCTACTAGGCTTGTTCTATGTATGATTAGAAAATGATCCTGGTTGTCCCGTTTATACGGAGGATACTTGATTCGATGATGTTGGTAGAGCATATTGCTGATATCTTTGCTGCTCCTTCCTGTAGTTCTGAGGGTTTGATGCAGACCCCTGATTAAAATTGGAACTTTGAAAATTATTGAATGTTTGATTTTGTCAATTAGATTGATTTTCATTCCATCCATACGTATTTTTCATTTGAACTTGATTGACTTTCCACTGAGTTGGTGGGATCATGGTTTGATTATTGAATTGTTGTTGCCTTTGTAAATAATAGTAATTTTGAGTAGGGTGTTGTCCTCCACAAAATATACATTAAACACTTATTTGTCTAGGTGATGGACATTTCGTATCAAAATGACCTTTTCCCTTACAATTATTATACCATACATTAGGTCTCGTATTAGAAGGCTTATGTCATTTCTGCTTATCTTTAGCCAAATTTACGGCCAATTCTTCCATCTTCTTTATTAGATTTAATAACAAGGCTTCATTTGGATCTTTAGAAGTCGCATTTGAGAACAACTCCGGTTGTTGATAGGTTGGCGATGTAAAATAAGGTGTCATTGTTATTGGCGCTATTGCTTGGAGTGGTGTAGCATTAATTGATTATTGCAACATAACATTCTTCACATTGGAGGTAGCCATTTGTGGATAATTATCCATCGACACATTTTTCGGTTGTATTTGTTGGCTTTCTGAACTTTGAATCATCGTGGCCCCCACTGTTAACAATTGGTCATAATGACATTTTTTTGACACCTTTGCTCATACCAACGATGCCTCTATCGTAGCTGGTCGAGCCTCTTTTACAAACATTTTTAATTCTGCTAGATGCAAACCATTGATTAATATCGACAATATAAACACATCCGACATTTGATTATTTGACCATTTACGAAGTATATCCATGATCCGGCCATAATAAGACTCTATGGATTCTTCCGCAAACATCTTGCTATTCATAAAACTTTCTTGAAGCCGATCTTCAAATCCAATTGGTCTAAAATGAATTAAGAAGGCATTCTTCAAGGCCTCTCAATTGGAAAATCTATCCACAGGTTGCCGAATATACCATTCGAAAGCTATATCTTTTAAAGTTGCTGGCAACCATCTCAACCAAATATCTTCAGTTCTATCATTATTAGCCACGCAAGCTATCAAGAATTGAGATATATGGTGATCGGATCTGAGCCCGATCAACCACTAAAAGTAGGTAATAGTGCCACACTTATAGTTTGGTCTTCTATTGCTCCCATTTGTACTGCAATTGGTACTTCTGACACTCCCGTGGCCATTGGTGTTATCATTGGTCTCTTTGCTATTTGAATTTGAATTTTTCTTCCTTTGGTTTTATTTGGACCTACAATTCCTTTTTGTCGTTCCCCTAGGAGATTTCTTATACGTAATCGCTCATGTCTTTTTTTCGCTTGTCGATTAATTCTTTGATAATCCTTCCTTTTATGATTATCACTCATAATCTTTTATTCTTCTTTACAAAATCAATATTGCCTTGAATTATAACTCACATATTTGTAACCCTAAAACTGGTTCTTCTCACGTTTTCATTCAATATATAATTCCATCTCCCATACAATCAATTTCTAACATTTTATATTGTTATCATTTCCACGGCAGCTGTGCCAAAATGTTATTCTCGTTGTGTTCAAGCTTCAGTAGACCAAAGTAATTGAACTAATAGAGGTAGGTTCGAACACGAGAAAAGATTGATTATATAAATTGGATTTGTTAGTGTCATAATTGACTGTATTCTAGCTATCTAAAATCAATTATCAAACTACAAAACATCGGGGCTTACTACTTCCGTCTTAATTCAACCCATAATCCATTCTACGACTATCAATTCAATAATATTTCCATATTCTTATTAGTTCATCTCCCGCTTATTCTCTTTCACTTGTTATATATTCAATTATTGATCTCCAGCTTACCTATTGTATTCAATTTCTCAATTCATCACACAGAATTCAATATCTCAGCTTACGACTATCACAGTTTGGCATTCTAAACTAACTTCTCAATATTCAGAAACTATCCATTACTCGTTAACAACAAAGAAACAAAAAGAAGTAGCCCCAAGCTTGCCCCGGCTTACGACTCTCACAATCTGGCCTTCAGCTTACGACTCTCACAGTCTAGCCTTGATCTCTCTTTCCTCAACCAATTTATCCTATCCAAAAGATGATCCATCGGTCAGCAGATTCTGAAGGTTATGACCCTTTGAATTCTTAACCATTTATTCGACTAACAACCTATTGTTACCAACTAAACTGCCTAATCATCAATCTAATTCTCAAGGTTATCAATAACCAACCAATAACTTATCACAAAATTTATTTACCTATTCTACAAAACTCTAGATATTTCTTCTTCATTGAAATAATTTTGAAGGTTTGTATCAATACATCCTATAGGCATAGAAATTAAAGAGTAGATGCATTGTAAATTACTTGGTTTTTGTTTATTACATATATATATTCACATATCAATTTTTCTTATATTTTACTTTATAAGAAAAAATAGTAAGACCATTGTTGCAAAGAGTGCATCAAAATTTACTCTCTTTATTTCAAACATGCTATAATGTGAGAGAAGTGACAAATTTTTTAGATGTTGGAAAGTCAAGTGTATAAAGGCTTCATTAGAAGTATTTTTTATATGCAAATCTTTTAATTGGAGGTAGACCACACAAGTTCAAAAGTCAAATAGAACAATCTTGTATAAGTAGTATAACTAGAAAAAAGATATATATTACAAAGGAAGCTACTAAACATGTGAAAGAAGTTTTTGGAGTACAAATTAGTGAAGTTACTATGTGTTGTGCACTTCATAAAGCAGGTTTGCACAGTCAAATGTAAAAAAAAAAAAAAAAAAAAAAAAAAACATATTTGTTAAATAAAAATATTATATCTTGTTTAGAATTTACTAGAAAGTATGAATATTAGACTATTGATGTTTGGAGTCAAGTAATATTTTCAAATGAGACTAAGATTAATAGATTTTTTTTAAATGGAAGAATTTAGTATTGAATTTATAATCCATAAGAACTATTAGAATAGACTATCATTCCAATTATTAAACATGGTAGTGGTTTTGTATTGATATAGAGATATATGTGTATACATGGATATGGCATGATGCATAAAATTGAAGGTCGTCTCAATCAGCATGGTTATCAAAAAATCTTGGTGGAACATCTATATGGTATAATTAAAAAAATTGATTTAGATGCATCAAAACGTTATATTTTAATAGGATAATGCACCTATACATAGTAGTAATAGCATGAAACAATGGTTTTTTAGGCAACATTTTAGTGTCCTAACTTAGCCTCCTCATAAAACAATGGATTTTTAGGCAACATAATAGTGTTTTATCTTGGCATCTTTAGTCACCAGATTTGAATCCTATAGAAAATCTTTGGGCCATTTTGAAATGGAAATTAAATCAATACAATACACCTCCAAAAGAAATACTTGAATTATAGTCTTGTGTAGAAGAAATCTTCTCTTCTATAATTGTTGATGATTACAAGAGACTTATAGAAACAGTGCCTAGATAAATAGTAGTTGTATTGAAAGCCAAAAGAAAATGGACAAATTGATGAAAAAATTCAATGTTGGACCTTCAAAATTGTTCCAATATATAGAATAGTTTAGTACTTTTTTTCTTTTCATTGAGTGCTTAGATTTTGTTGGAATTTTTGTAAGAAACTAGTACATAGTATGTATTATTTAATAAATTTACTACATTCCATGAATTCCATGAATACCTACATCGTTTTTCGAATGTGACAAGTATAAACATTGGGACAGCTTTGAAGGTCACTGTATCCCTACGGTTGGGCTTGCAAAGGTCTGCATAGGACACAAGCCATCGAACATGTCACACCGATTCTCAACGTTGGGAATTGTCCTCAACTAGTTTACTTTCTCTTGAATGGTTCTTAAGAACTCATTCTTGAGTGTCGGAAAAGACAGAAAACGGAGCAAATAACTGTCAAACAATATTAAATCTGAAAATACAGACCACCACTTCGATTTGAAACAGGTGAGGGATTTTTTTTTTTAAAACGCTGCTCAGTCAATTGATCTTCAACCAACGGCAGACTCAGTGAATTAATTTGGCAAATACATTTGAATGTTCCCCACCGCAATCGTTCCTCTGTCAAGAGAGGTGGCAGGATAGGTAATGGGTGCACTCGAATCTGTGCAATTGAATTGGAACAAATAATGGAGTCTTGGGTGATGCGTACGGTCTATGGGTCGACATGCTAGTTTACAAATCTGACCTTACAGAATCTAACAATGAAGAACTACCAAAAAAAACACCTTAAATGCTAAGGAATACATGAGCTCTAGCTATTTTACAGTAATCTCGGTTGAAATGCCCTTTAGACTTCTTTGAAGTACTACAATTAAGCTGTCAACGGGTTACGAAGCGAAAATGCTTGTAGATACTCTCTTTCCCTAGCCAAGTCCTTTCTAGAGGATGTACATCAAATGAAGAAGCACTGGTTTAAGACGGCAGGACAGGAATTCATCGTCATGTGTAGTAGTTTCTGGCCCCTTAATGGTGATATTCTCGACATCCAGAAAACAGCGAAAAGATGTTCGAAATTTACCCCTTGGTCCTCATGATGGTGATAGTGCCAGCACCTTCTGTGTGTATCTTGGTACATGCAACAACAGATTTTCCAGAGAGACCCGCTCCTGGTGGAGAACGAGGCCTTTTCTCATCTACAGGTGATGGTCTATCTGTAGGAGTCGGTGGAGGGCTGAGTAACAGTTTATTAATATCGTTCAATGTTACATCACCTTGAGCAGCAGATGGTTTCAGCATTGCAAAGGGCAATGCAATAGGCATTAAAGACTTCGTTTTGAATCTACTCAGACCTGAAGACGACTTCCGACCTGCATAGTCATGTGAAACAATCGTCAATATATTTCATGGAGAAGGATGTGTATACAAGCTTAAATTCTCATCTAGCATATCCCTTTGTCATGAATAAAGATTCTAAAGCCGATTCACTGATATCTAAAGTTCGATCCGCACTTAGCCTCTGAAGCCTCTACCAGCACCATTAATTTAATGGAAGCATTGCACCAATAATGTGTGAAATTACGAAACAAGCAACGACATGTAGCTTACCAGGAGTAGGAGGCTTTGAGAAAGGTATTAGAGGGTTTTGTAACTGCCCATTTTCTGCCTTTGGATGCAATAGTCGCGGTTGAGTTTGCTGATATTGAAAAGGCTGCTGAAATTGCATTTGTAGTGGTAACTGTTTCGGCGAGAAATTAGAATTTTGGGAAAAACTAGACTGTGGCGTGAGTGGTGTCGGTCGTTTCCAAGGTTGTGGAGAATAATTCTCACCAAGAGAATTCGGGATGTAACTACCCATTGGAAGCTGCGAAGAATTTCTGAAAAACAACAGGAAATACAAACAGTTACTTACGCTGGCAACAAATTATTCCTGGTAGGCCCTTGACACTTTCTTTAAACCTTGGCTCACTGCCAATAAAGTTCATTGTGCAAATGAATTAAATAATTTGATCATAGCACATACATTTGCACCGGAGCACTGTAGGACTGATTCTTTTCAAATGATGGTAGGGACGACCACGTTTCAACAGGCTGTTGAGAATTGGGAAGAACAAAAGAGGTAGTAGCATCTGCATATTCACGAAAGACCCCTCGTAAGAACAATTACTTCTGACCTGAGTGTCTCCCAAAAAACTACGGTACAGTTACGAATGATGTAATTACACAAGGCACCCAGTAGGAAATCCAAGATAAAAGAGATTGAAAAGTTACCAGATCCCGTGAACCACGGCGACGTTGTCAAGCCAGGCGAGCAATAGGGTTGCAACATGTAGTCATCGCCACTGAAAACTGAAGAAAGAGGAGAGCCCTGCAATCAATACACACAACAACTCTAATAAAAATGCAGCATCCAGTTTCAAGGAGGTGGTGTCCAAGGGTTTTCGTAAATGAATCAGACGCGAACACGAGAAACCAGATAAATTACCGCATATGACGAAGAGTACGTAGTTGAAGGCGAGCCGACGACACTCTCGTGAGGGAGAGGCGAGTCGTGCGCAAAACCGCCTGTGTTGACCCCAGTGAACTGCAACATACGCCGCCTCTTGATGCGCTCTCCTTGCTGATCGCTGTACGAAGACCCCGTGCTGTCACTACCTGCACATTCTAGACCATGTCAGAATGTGTACTAAACCTTGCAGCCGGCCACCTCCAATACCAGCGCACAATGGCCTACACTTGTTCCACTGACGAGCATCGACATGCATTCCTCCGCACCTCACGCACAAGACTCCTCTGTGTTGTATCACGGTCATCGATGTTACATCTACGCTTTCACACCTCCATCACATACCTTGACTAGTTTCACAACCGTACGAATAGAACGTGGGAGTCGATGGCTGAAGCCTCGTGTCCACATGCGGGGTAGTCATCGAGAATAAGTTGCCAGACTCCACTTGGTTGTGCATCACATGCTCCCAGAAAGCTGGAGTACGAGCTGGAACACAACACATTCTGTTAGCAAACTCCTCGTGGTCGGCACCAACGAACTCCATCATCTGCAGCTCTCCCAATGAAACACGTACTGTTCTCAACCTGCTTCGATATCCGTACCTAGAGGAGACACCGACTCCGTCATGAACGAATATTCATCGTGCTGGGACCACGGCTCCATCTTGGTCCTTCCAGCCATCGGCTCGGCTCTAGGAGCGAATTGCATAGCAACGTCGCTCAGCATCTCGGTATCGCGGTTATCCCGCGCACTAGTACCAGGCAATGACTCCTGCCTTTCCAGCATGAGTGCTTATGTTCTACGCAATGCATCCGAGGTGATCCTGTTCATCAAAACTGTGTCGTCCTCGAGCCTTTTCCAAGCGTCATCTACACAAACAACACAAAAGAACAGCGTTCAGACGCACATTGCACAACACGACATGCTCCATCACTTCTTTCCGGCCTGGCGTGCCTCGCACTGTTGTTTACTCGACTAATCACAACAGACTTCACAACTGTAGCGCCTTCTGGCCTCGCAAAAGAGAAGGACGAATCGTCATAATCTAACGACATTGTGTCCGGGTTCGTTATCCACAGCTGTGGAAAAGTATCATAATAGATTCTAAATAACCGTTCAGCAAAGACCACGACCACCCGTAGCTGGTGAGGAGAACCGAATCGCTGGTAGCAGATGCCAATCAGAACATATTTGCTACAACATGTACATCAAAGCTTCGGTGGGAGTTGAAACGTGGCTGCTACAAGAAGACTAGGCTTGCACGCATAGAAGCTCTGGCCCTTGGAGAGGCGCGTTCTGTAATAGAATAGTGCAGTTTGAGTCCGTGACAAAGCGGCCCAGAAGTTGAAGACATAGGGGCTGCAAACGCGCATTGTCACCCACGGAATGTAACTAACCCGTTCAAAGCAAAGAGTGCTGTATTCTTTCGGTTCGCTAAAGCTTCGTCGTGCTACGATCGAGCACTTCGAACGCTCAGAATGCTGAAAAAACATTCTAAAGAAGAACACGACACCTGCGGACGCACAAGATGTGCGCTGAACGCTTGTCGGTTGCCTCTAGGGAACGCGGGAGGAAGCTCAGAATCCGCGATCTCTAACCTAATGCTACGCCGTTCCAAGAAAATGCACCAAAGCAATAGGTCCAATTCGAAAAGTAATTGAAAGCGCTAGCGCAGCATCACTATCGTAAAGGTGGACCCGAAACTATCGTGCGAACGAGGATTTAGCGTTAACCACCGAAGACCAGTAGGCCAGAATAAAACCACAGCTACCCCTGGCATTCCAGCAGGTGAGACGTCCACCTTCAAACACAGTGCAGAGGGCTCTGTGGAACCACTTCAAGAAGGCACTTCGCTCACGGAGTTCAACAGATCAAGCATGTGGATGCTTCTAACGAGGAGCTATGGGGAAATATTTCACGCTGCTCAGTCAAGAACCCCAATCTCCACATGGGCACTGAGATCAATGTCATCGCAGTGTACGAGCCTGGAAATGCAAGTCACCAATTCTTCGAAGCAACAGAAGATGGAGCAAGCCGGATTGCTCGACTGCTCTCATTTCCACAGCGTCCGACGCTGCCAACACAAACAATCACTTATCCTCGTCTAATAACTTTCCAGACACTACACATTGCGCGACCAGAATCCTACCTGCACAACGAAGTCGCTCTTATACCGCACGCTACATTCTCAACTCCAACTCTTGTCTCGCTCGCTATGTCAACCTCCACTAACACACACATTGCGCGCAGCACCATTGCCATCACAAGAACCACATTCCTGCCCCCGGATTCACTCACTCGAGCACCACCAGATCAACATCACCAGACCTCTCCAAACGCCTGCACGATGCAACAAGCAAACACCCCGCTCTTTTCAAGCAAAATAATCCGAAACGCCCTATCGTTACCTCAAAGGTCTAGCCCGCGTTTCACCGCACGCCATCTTTCTCGCCTCGGTCATCACATTTGTCTCACTCGCACGCTATCTGCCTCCATCACCTCTCCGAACTCTCAGAACGACACACCAAGAATTCACCAAAGAGCCGCCAAACTCTACAACGCGTGCAACTGAAGTCCTCTTTTAACATCGAAATTCTCCGCGATCGCTTGCAAGAACTCCTGGGTACCGATGCCGACTGCTCCTCACGGACAATGAACCTCGGCAATGAGATGAGGCGTCCAGTATAGTCACACGATACTCAGGCGGAGCTATGGAGCGGCTGGCAGTTGAATTGGGACCTGTTCCCACTACAGCCGGTGTTCCTCGGTCCCACCCTGAGACTCTTCTTCTCTTGCGAACACCCTCGCAGACACAAACAGTGTCGCAAGTAAACAACTCTCTCAGGGGGGCTCCGCACTTTCTCTCTCCGGCCGATGATGAGACGAGACCATGCCTGACTTCGCTTCAGCATTTACTGGTCTCTCCTCATTTAATGCTGGCTTCGATTTCTTTCTTTGGCAGAGCTGGATCCTTCTCCACTCCCCGTTGTGTATTTTTATTTAGTGTTCCACTTGGCTTTGCTATTTATTTATTTTTGGCACAAGAGAAAATAAATTTCATTGCAGGGAATCACCAATACAGAACTGGTCTGGAATAGAGTCTTGGCTTTGCTATTTCTCAGCTGGCTTGACTTGTAGTGAGGTTGAACTTGCTTCTCAGCTCACTTGCCAAGTCAACTTCAGGGGGGTGTTGTTGATACTCTCCCACATTCTCAGCAAATTGGGTTTTTTTTTTTTTATTGTGCGGGGAGTTCCTTCCTGGGCCGATTATGGGTGGAGCATCTATCGTCAATAATAGAATGTGAGTTCTTGTTTGAGCTCACGAGGCAAAAGAATGTTTTACCCTGACAGGAAGGCTGTCAAGGACACTTGGGGAGATAACATTTAGTAGAATAGAAAGTCAACGTGGCATACCGCAATGAGCAGTGGTTAAAATTTGGGTGTTGAAATACCTTCGATAAAAATATGAAAATAAAATTTTGTTGACAGATTCGCTAGTTACTTATCACTTGTCACATTGTTAGCCTTGTTTGTAAAGATCTAGATTTGGAATTTTCACATGGTCTGGCATGATAATTGTGAAGATGCCTCAGAAGAAAATACAAATAAAATCCAGCATGGCAACTTCTTTGGCACATGGATATTTTGACAGATTGTAGAGTAACAAAATCATACTTGTTAAAGAGAAATCTTAGAATAACTCGAGAGAAACTGTTATTGTAATTTTTCAGTATCAATCATAAATTAATAAATATGCACCAAACCACATGCACAAGTTTGACCAAACTCCCTTTTCAAACCATCATGCAATGATAGTAGAAAACGACAAAATAACTGCTCCGATGCATCTCCCTTTCTGTTCAAAGCCATAAACCTAGCGGCATTATCAACACATTAACACAACCAAACACCTAAAACAAGGCCTATGAACCAACCTCCCTTTTGTCTTCAGCTAGGTGACAAGCATGACCCCTGCTGGAACCCTCTGATGCAGAAGTTCTAAATGTCAACCTTCTCGACTAAATTCTTTTAGGATGTAGACCAGGGTTTTGAGAATGACATTGGGTTCTTCACAAAATTTAGTGGAACTGGGTTTCACTCTAGAACAAGCTCCATGAAATTTACATCAGTATCATGGACATTGGCAAATTTTGGATGTAACTTGTGTGAGTCCAATCTATCTTTGAGGCTCATAAGAGAATATGCAGAGAGAGCAAGATAGTACTTGTGTGTCTGTATGCATATTGAATGGGCACTGCATACATTTTATGGAGTTATTTCTACCTTTATTTCACTAGTTTTGCATAACAAATGAATGCCATCTAGCAGAACATTTGAACCCATAGCACACCTCCACTTATGACAGTTCATTTCTGCAGTACAATACTGAAGGTAACAAGGATTCATAACTTCTTCTTAACAACAACACTGCACCATAGTTACCATGCAAGCACCGATATTTTTAATTAATTACTTTCTTTCTTTGTCACAAATTTTGACGAGCTAAAGTGTACCCCATTAGAAACAAGTATCTGATGGAATGTAACTTCATGACTCTTTCACTCTTGAATGGTGCGAGGTGACCTCTCAAATTACCCTTCCAGCACCATATCAGACTCCCATTGACCTGTGAATGAATAAAAGCAACCCTATACTACTATCACAACAACAGCAACAATTCAGAATTCCTTGGGTTTCAGTGGCTCTCACTTGCCACGCCGTAAAATTCTATGGATCTGCATCCTTGTTTTTCTAAATTAACATCAAAGACATGTGGTTGAAAGTAGATGTTTCTAAGTGGATCCTTCACATGATGCATGTATAATCCCAGGTGTACTTTTTTATTTCCATGGTAATCATGGGAGTGAACCTACTGTTCCCACTTCAAGTGGCTCTGGTGACAACACTTCCACCCCTACAACAATTTGTGGAAAGCAAAAGCAATGTGTGCCTGACAATTGATATAATTGAGTTAAATTGAGTTTAGGAGACGATAAAGACAGCCCAACTCACAAAAACATGATCACAAATTCATCAAGAAAACTGGGGTTCCATGCACGATAGTAATTGTTTATTCAGCACTTTTGTGAGTGCCTAATGGCTAGAGAGCTCAGGAATGGGGAATGAGCCTGTTATAGCAACCAAGTAAAAAAAAAGAAAAAAACAAGCAAGCATGCCAATATCCTTGGTCTACTTTTAGTCTACAACAAGTAGTATTTGAGGAAGATGTTTCTCAAATAAATAATACAGCATATATATATATATATATATATATATATATATATTATGATTTTGGACAATTAGGTCCAACAAATTGTTAAGATCTTCAAAAAACACATATATAGACAACTCTGGAGTCAAAGAAATTACATGGAACTGTCTTACATAGTGTGGTAAAGTTAGTTGGTATAAAACTATATAAAAAAAAATGATTTAAAAAAAGGAATCGAATTCTAAAATAAAATTTGAAAAATCAAATTAGGTTAGGTAAAAAACATAAAACTATTCATGTTTTAGATTTTATTGTATTTTTCATCTTTTATTTTTTTTTTCTCATACATCCAAGTTATACTTCACTCTTCTTTGGATAAATGTTCATGCAATACATCGGAACCTGTTAAGAATTTCTAAATTCTGGATTGGATTGGATTGGATTTCAAGGATTGTGCAGTTCATGCTGATTCATTTGCACACAAAATTCTGAAAAATATGTGATAGAATCTAGAAATTCAAAGATTATACAAAGCAATGAACAATGCATGGAACAAAGTAATTTTGTTAGTCCTTGTGATTTTATGGTACACAGCAGGGTTCACATTCCAGAACTCAGTTGGATATTGGAAGAGCAGGCTTACAAAAGAAGAAGAATAAGGAGGCTTTTATAAGGGGAGTCAGTGTTTTCACTTTGTTGGCAAATGTGGCAGAAGAGTACACACAAGTGACTCCTTCCAATCCTTTGACCACAAATTCTTTTCTCATGCATGCATCCTTTTTTTAATAGACAGGTTAGTAGCCTTCACTGAATTATTGTCTTGGGTATATAAATATATGTGTATCTATATCTATCAGTGTGTGTGCATTTTTAAGTGATTTTGTTTTTATAAACAGGCAGACAGTTTAATGTTCTGGAAAAAGTCCTGAGGTTCTCTTAACTAAGCAGCCCACAATCTAAAGTTTGCCCAGATTCTTATCCCTGCTTTCATGTAGTGAAGGTTTTTGCGTTTTATTTTTAACTTCTTCATCTTTATCTTTCAATTGCTCCAAGTTAGTTATCATTTAAGAGTTGCAACAGTAAGGTGATCAATCATTGATGGTTATGAATCTCCTTTCATAGCTTTTCAAAGCCAGATTGTTTTTTGTTTTTTTATTTTTATTTTTTTATGGCACAAATGAAAAGGATTTCATAGCAGAAGGTAACCAATACAAGACCAGGCTAAGATAGAGTTAAGAAACCCACCTAGCTTGGGACTGAACTAGTGACTTGACATTTAGTTATGCTACAACCCAGTTAGCTGGGATACTATGGTATTATACAACCCAGTTATAGGCTAATTTCTATTCAATTGCCATCTTATTTGTTTACCAGATTGGACTTTCAAAGCCAAGGTTGATCAAGTGGATGACCACATTACAATTGACATGGGCTTGGAAAGAAAAAATTAGAAAAAGAGGAAGGATGCAGTAGTAGCCCTGTAGTTGACAACACATTTTATTTACATGGAGGGAAAGATGCCCAATCTACTGGTCTATCGCATAGAACAAAAATATATATAAATATAAATATATATATATATATACATACATACACACACACACAATTAAGGGTAAAAATGCATCCATATGGACTCCTGCCATTGATCATGAGCCAATGGCTCCTATTCAAATGATTTGTTTAAAGGAGACTTAATACTCCAATAGAGAAAACCCTTAATCATGATCCATTTTAAGGAGTGGATTGCATTGGGATTGTCAATGGTGATACAACTCAAACCTTCATCTTCATCTTTTTTGGATTTCAAGCCTAGACACACATCAAAATATATGTGTTTAGCATTGAAAGTAGTGCCTTGCCACCATTAGCACATCTTTCTCTGATCTATTTGTTATGGCACCTAAACCGAGGCTCATAATGGCTCCCCTTGAATTCTGTTGTTGGAGTAGGATCAATTCCCATTTGAACTGGGGACTCTGGGATCTATGGATGGTTTACAGGTCTACATTCTTTGCACGAATTTGTTTCTTGTGAAGTTAATTTTAACTCTATCAACATCTTAACTGACACAAACTGTTATTTATTTATTTGTTTGTTTGTTTGTTTGTTTGTTTATCTTCAGCATACTGTTTCACAACAAATATATTATTTAGAGTAATAAAAGTAAATTGTCTACCTTGGAAACATTCTATTAGTTACTACACCTCACAGAGTGTTTTAATTAAAAAGAGCACTGCAAACATTCAGACTCCCCACAGCATCCCTTCAATTCCTGGCAAATTGAGAACCAATTTTGTAATATGAGGGGAAAATTACAATAATCAGAATTTCTACAGTTGGAATGATTTGATCTGCATCCTCTTAATTAATAATATGTAGAAGAATTTTCTTTTAATTATTTTGACTGAAAATATTATCATGTAATCAGAACAAATTCCCAAAGACCTTCTCACAACTTACAGCACTGAGAGGGGTCCAAAGCTGCAACTGCATGGGTCCTGAAAATCCACAGGGGAACAAAATGGAACAATAAATGAGTGCCAAATCTGTGAGTTCCCAAATTTTACACATGGCTAATGTCCACCCCTTCATTTGGGTTTTTTAAAAGAAGAAACCCTAAAACCTGGTTTGTGGAAGTGGTTAAGACCCAGTCTCACAGCCTCAGAACCATTCAAACAAGGGAACCATGCCCACAAAGCCTA